AGTAGAGGAAGACAGGAAGTTAGGGGCTTATATATGACTGATACATTTAAAATAACGAAAATCTTTAATAGGTCCCTATTAATCTTTAAATTGTATAAAATTTCTATAAAACAGAGTGGTTTTTATTTCGCACATTAATCATTCCTGTATTATGTACGCACAAATTTGAAGCCGCTTTGCTGATGACCAAAAAAATGTCATAGAATTGCGAACGGTTGAAAGTAGGGGAAAGAAATGCTGATGGCAAAGTAAAAGGGAGCACAAACAATGAGGATACATAAGGCTGAGAGAGCAGGTGAGATATACAGGAAGGCTTTAACTCTAGTGAGAATCCGTTTACGATACTCCAAATATCACTGGTACAGAAAAAAGAGAAAAACGAGGTCAATGCAGTTTTCTAAATGTAGGCAAACTTTAAAGTAAACTAAGATCTGTTGCAGATCTTTAAGTAAAAAATGATGGTAAAAAAGTGCAAGTTAGATAAAATACCAATAAAATATGCCAAGAATGCAATAATTTGCAAGCATCTGCACAGATAGATGTAAAATATATGCAAATTTTGCGTTTGCGAAAACAATAATAAAATTTCACTTTGCCCATATTAGAATGAAGGTATAGATATAGTGGAGGTTGGCACGCTTTTGAGTTCCAATTTTAAACATAGAAAATATGAGAGAAACGTTGAAACAAATTATTATCATGCTGGCAATATCGTAGATCGATATTTACCCAGAGAACAAAACAACCCTTCCGTGTTCTCGCTACCCAAGTTAAGCTCGATTCTGTCATGCGACTCGCATTTAACCTCCGTTTTCAGATCACAGTCTACATCACGATTCTCATCTACTTTTAAAATGCTTTCATCGTCCTCGTAAAGTGATGCTTCTATTGGGCTACTATTCAGTCTCCGCAGTTCATTGCTCATTTTGTATCCAGGTAGAGGCAATAAGTCCGAATTTGTACCGTCGTAGAGAATACGATCGGAGCACTCACTTATTTCTCGATGAGGTAATTCAATTTCTCCAATACTAGGGTCGCTGGAAGTGTCGCATATCGCTTCATGTTCAGCCCCATTATCGGTTTCTCCTTCGGCATCCTCATCCTCGGCTTCTTCGTCCTCATCATCGTAGAGACCCATTTCTTTTAGTTGA